AAAATTATTTCTAATGACTTATCATCCCCAGTGAAAATAAGTCCTTTGATTTCATCCAAAGCAATGAATCCGAAACACTTCCCATAGAAAAGTGTGTGTTCCGCAAAATATTACTTCAAATGACTTTTCTGGAGTCTAGAGATCTGTACACACAGAGTCGGTGCCATGTAAGATCTGATGGATGACATACACACCCCTGTCTTCATAGATTGGAGCCAGAATACGTCTCGGGGGAACATGGGACATGAGAACCAGTGTGACCACATCACACACCCATCGTAACAGGATCTGTAGCCCTTATGATCCAGAAACGATGTCTTAAATCTTTCCGTGCCACATGTATATGTTAACGACTTATGGACAAACTCTAGAGAATCCCTGGGATCTCAACCTCAACCAAAGGACACGTGTGCCCAGCACATCCTTCTGTGAAGAGGGGCCCCGAGACCCTGTGTGCCTTGGAGATACCTGATATCTATCGCCACCCACCACTCTCCTATGCCTTTAGTTCCAGTATTCGGTGTTTAGGAATTGAAAATCACAACGGCAATTTCAATGTGGTCATAAAACAATACATCAAGTGACCGAAAAGTAATGGGGGGAAATGTTAACTGAGAGAAATCCCACGTTACCGGAGAGACATCCCAACGGAACCGAAGCCAAACTCTGAAGCACACTTTGTTAGCCTTTAGGATAAATAACATTCCTCGTTGGAAGAGTCATTTCGAGTCAGTTCGAGATCTACTTGGGGGTGAGCTGGTTTATTTGGCTTGATATTCTAGTTCCACATTTTCCTTTCTGTTACATATTGAAGTAACTGCCAGTTACTGCCAGACCCTGTGCTGAGCATTTTCCTTTAATACTTTGTTTACCCTAACGTCAATCCGATGAGGTAGGCACTATTATTCTCGCCTTATTTGACAGATGAGGCACCAGGCCAAGAGGGTTAGTAACTTGCTGATGTCCCCGCAGGTAGAAAGTGCCAGAGCTGAGCTGAACCAGTGGTCTGGCCCTAAAGTTGGGCCCTTCCACACTGCTCACACCGCTCAAAAGATGAACACATTCTGCTCTGAAAGATCCAGACAGCTCCTGAGAATTCAAAATAAAGGGTAAAACTGCCCAATGTGGGGCTGGATTGGATTTATAAAATAATTTGAGAATAATGGGCTTCCTTAAGTGTTTTACTATTCCCTTCAGGAGAAAAGTGTATGCCTGTGATGCTGTGATTCCTTTTATATCTCTGTAAGTAAAATTTCTTGATTGTATCCTTACAGTTTTGCATATTCCCACTTACATACATTTCAACATATTTTTGTTGCTGCTATTGTTCTGTTCCCAATGGCATCGTTGTTTTTCATGATGTCATGTCATGAGGAGAGCAGACTGATCAGAAAGTGATTGATGTTTACATGCTAATCTTATATTCAGCTACATTAGGAACTTTTATCAGTTCCAATACTTTTTGTCCGTTGATCAGCTTAGATTTTTCCTGACAGGTGATCAACGATCCGTATGTGGTGACAGTTCCATTGATTCATTTTTTTTTTTTCTGATTGTATTCTTGCTTGAAGGGAATTTTTTTAACAAGATGTTTCCCTTTTTCAAATCGTGTTTATTGTTTTAGAGAAGTTTTAGGTTCACAGAAAACTCGAGCAGAGCCCGCGGAGTTCCAATGTGCTCCTCACCCCCACACATGCACAGCCTCCCCCACCATCAACTTGCCACACCTGATGGTATGATTGTTACCATCGGTGAACCCATACAGACACATCATCAACACTCACAGTCAGTAGTTTGCAGTAGATTTCACTCAGGTTTTACATGTTTGATGGCTTTTGACAGATCCATAATGACATGTAGCCACCATCATAGTCTCATACGGAGCAGCGTCACCAGCCTGCAAATCCTCTGCAGTGTGTATACTCATCCTTCTTTCCATCCCAACCAACAGACCCTGCTGTTGGTTACCTTCTCAATAATTCTGCCTTTCCAGGATGTCATATAGCTGTAATCATATAGTACACAGCTCTTCAGGTTGGCTTCTTTTCTTCCGTAATATGTATTTAAGGGCCTTCCATGCCTTTTCATGGCTCACAAACCAGCTTTAAGAGCTCAATGCCACATAGTTTTAGAACTATATTCCAAGTCCGAAGGGATCACTGTTTCTTTAGCCATTGACCTACTGAAGGACATCTTAATTGCTTCCGAATGTTGGCAACGATGAATACAAGTGCCAAAAACATCATGTGCAGGTTTTGTGCAGACGTGTCTTCAGCTCCTTTGTGTGAATACCAAGAAACACAAGACTATGTTCACTTTCATAGGAAACTCCCAAACTGTTTCCCAAAGTGGCTGTACCATTTTGCATTCCCACCCGCAATGAATGAGGGTTCCTGTTGCTCCACATCCCAACCAGCATTTGGTGTTGTCAGTAAATTCTCCTTTTTAAAGAGTAGTAGAAGAAGAGAGTGGAGACAGAGAGAGAGGAAGAAACTAGCTTGAGGATCATCACCCAGAAGAAGTCAACTGAGTCAGAAGCTGAGATGCAAGCAGAGAATTTCAATGCCATCCACCTCCGTTACATCTGACGTGTCACCACCCCCACCCACCCCAACAGAAGGTACCACTTTGTTACTTTATCATTCACAAGCCACCGTGCCTGCGCGAGACCTACTGTCTTCTAAACTGAATGAGCTTGAGCAAGGTCCTTGCCTTCGCAAGTTAGTTGACTCAACTTAAAAGAGGAAATGTAATCGTATGGAAATTTGTAGCGATCATCGGAGATGATCAGTTATGTTTGCGCATTGTCCGGCCATAGCTAGCAGGCAAAAAGTCGTGCTGCTCTTTTCATGCTACTGTTATTGGCCACAAGAGGTTTTGCAACCATTTGCACCTACAAAACCTAGGTTTTGCACCGACATTTCAGGCAGAATCAGCTCACTATGACTTCGAGGACTGGACTTTTATGGAACATGATATTTTCCATCCCTCAGCCCCTGCCAAGCACCATTCTGTTCTCTATTTCTATGAATCGGACTACTCAAAGTACCTCGTATTAGTGGGATCATGCAGTATTTGTCTTTTCTAATGGCTATTTTCCCTTAATGTACTGTCCTCAAGGTTCACTCATGTCGTAGCACGCGACAGGGTTTCCTTGTTTTAGAAGGGTGAATGTGAAGAATATTACATGCATGTACCATATTTCATTGATTGACTCATCTACCCATGACCACTGGGTGGTTTGCACCTCTTGGCTATTGAATAATGCTAGTATAAACGTGGGTATGCAAATATGTCTTTGAGACTCTGCTTTCAATTCTTTTGCATATGTCCTCAGAAGTGAACTTGACTGACTGACTCTACTTTTAATTTTTTGAGGGACGTCCGGCTCTTAGCCTCAGAAGCTGCATCATTTTACATTCCCCCCAAAATTCACAATGCTTCCCTTTGCTCCACACCCTGGCACACTCTTATTATTACCTATCTTTTTTTTTTTTTAATGATAACCACAATAATGGATATGAAAAGCCCGTGTGATTTTGACTTGAGATCTGAGACCCAGCCTGCGTGCACTGGTGCAAATGAACCCACAAGTGTCTCACCTCACCCACCCGTTCTGCTCCCACATCACACAGAGTCAAATGGAAACTCCCCTTGACTTGGCCCATCCTCCCTCTCCAGTCACAAAGCCTTCCCTCTCCCACCGGTACTCTTGCATGTATTACATGTTTTGGGGTAACCTAGGTACCTGACATTCCCAAGACACGTGGTTTATGCCATGTTGTCTTGTTTCATGCCCTTCCCTCGGGAGGCCTCCTCCAGCTATTCCTTTATGTCAGAATTCTATATACCCTGCAATGGCTCTCACAGGGGCTCCCTCTGTATTACAAGACTGATGTCCTAATACCTTCAGTAAGAAGTTTACATGCCTTCCCTGTGCTGCCAGAGAGCACGCCGCTCATAGCTGGGGAGAGGCCAAGGATGAGCCCCTTGGGTATCTCTATTGCCTAGACCCTGATGACTCAGAAGATCTGACCCTTCCAGTGGACAAGAAAGCTAACAAGGAGCTTCTTTTGGTCAATGGAGAGCCTGACTTGATTTGAAATATCTTTTGAATAAGTCACACAGAGAAAGACAGATACCATATGTTTTCACTCTTATGTGGATCCTGAGAAACTTAACAGAAACCCACGGGGTAGGGGAAGGAAAAAAAAAAAAGAGGTTAGAGTGGGAGAGAGC